GAAAAACTGATAATATTATGCATAAGAAAATTATAGAGTTATTGCTGCTGAAATTATTTTTTCCCCACAAACTGCTTCTGCCTTTTGGCTTAGCTTTCTGGGAGATTCTGGCATAACATAACACACTGACAGACGTTAAACACCCAGACAGATGGATACAAACTCAATTAAACGGCATGTATTAAAAGTTCACACATGACTAGTTTGCTTTTGAAATTATGGTATTGCAATAATTAAAATATCAGATCAAATGGATAATGAAAATACCCCTTCAGGCATGGATAGAAGGGGTGAATTGGTGTTGCAGCCATTGCATTCTCCTGCAGCAGTTCAGTGCACAGATGTGACTGGCCATCGAGATCTGGCAAACGGCAAAGGTTAATGTAGGAGCTGATCCTATATCTTTGACTGGGGAAAGACTGGAGACCTTGCTGGAAAATGGAAGGACTTTTGATGCAGGCAGTCTACGGACACACATGCAGCACGTGTAGACAAGTGTTGTCTTCTGGAAGACTATAGGTGTTGTCTCAGGAGAGGAAAGACATGTGGACAAAGATGCCACTGATGTAGCGGTGTGCCATCTGGGCTTCTCAGATAACTACTATAAAAGCTCCCCAGACCACGATGCTAGGAAAAACATTGGCATGTCTCTTAAAACAACTGGCAGTATTGGTCCTCTCCCCTTGGCATTGCAATACATGGCCATGCATGATAAAACAGCACTGATATGTTTTACTGAGAATGATGACGTCTTGACATCAATCCATGCCTCCCAGTTATGGCACTCATCCAATCTCAGCTGTCTCTGCTCTGCTGTTCAACAAAGCCTACACATGGGACTAAGGAATCCATTCCCTACTACGTCTGGATACCAAGGGAAGATGTCATGTAGTTTTGAAATGCTCAACACCTGTGCCACTTGTGTTCAAATTTAATTATTGAGTCTTTGAAAACAATAAGTCCAAACATCCTGTCAATAAAGACAGTGTTTATTTGCTAACATTTGTTTGCATAGACCCAGTCCATTAAGTTCCAAATATGTTCCATAATTATGAAGTAGACTGTACCCATTGCCACAATAAATCAAGAGTAAATCGTCAAAAACAACTGAATTATTTTGGCCTACCACACCTGTCACCTGACTGACAGTTCATACCTTTATAGAAATTGAATGCATACCAAAAGTGACGCCTACTGGCTTGCACAATTTTAAATAAATGACTCCTAATTAGGGCAGCACGGTGGCGCAACTGATAGAGCTGCTGCCTCTCAGCGAGCAGGTCCCCCGGTTCAAATACCGGACGTGGTGCTTTCTGGGTGGAGTTTGCATGTTCTCTCCGTGCATTCATGGGTTTTCTCCGGGTACTCCGGTTTCCTCCCACAGACCAAAAACATGCATGTTAGGTTGATTGGCAACTCTAAATTGTCCCTAGGTGTGAGTGAGAGAGTGAATGTTGTTTGTCTCTTTGTGTCCCTGTGATGGACTAGAGACCCCTCCAGGGTGTACTCCGCCCCTCACACAATGACTGCTGGACATGGGCACCAGCGACCCCCGTGACCCAAAATGGAAGAAGCGGGTAAAACATAATGGATGGATGGACTCCTAAATTAGTTGTGGTTTAATGCGTGTGTGTCTTTATGTAACCATTGGCTCCAACATTGGACCACTAAACTAGGGGTTCTCAAACTTTTTGAGTTCAGGGACTCCCTCATAACCCTCATGTTTATTCAATAATTTTCAATTTGTCTCTTTAATGGAAATACTGATGCAAAATAAATACTTAAGACCTGTTTAATACTGTTAGTACAATTTTTAAACTTTTAAACATGGAGTATTTTTCATTCAAGACACACTTAATTAACAAAAAAAAATTATTTCAACGTCCAAAAATTAGTTTCGAGAAAAGTATCAAAAAAACATTTTAAAACTTGACCTATTCACATAATGAACATAAATGTATAGCCACTTTTTCAATTACAGAAAACTCTTCACATAAAACTGAACAGAATCATAACAGCAGTAGTCATACCAAGTAACAGGGCTTCATTTGTAAACCAATTTATACCAAAACGTAAATAGTGGGTGGGCCGGTGGAGTGGTGCAGGGGGGCTGGGGTTCCTCCCCCAGAAAATTTTGAATGAAGCATATGTGATTTCCTGCATTTTGGTGTATTTTAATGGGTTGTTAAACATCTATGTGCTTGTGGAAAAATAAAATAATATATATATATATATATATATATATATCATTATTTTATTTTTTTTGCAGACCCCCAAGCATCGGCTCACGGACCCCTGGGGGTCCTGGGACCCCAGTTTCATAACCACTGCACTAAGACATCTGCATGTCCCCCACCCAGTCTCATGTAAACCCAAAATGTGTCCCCTATCAAGTGCCACCAAGTGCTGGTAATACTGTTTAATGTATGAGGCATCTCATGTCTGGTAACCTTCATGCTCAGTTTTGACTGTTAAATACACTGGCAACTGCCTGATAACACAATTGAGATGTGATGCCGCTACTTATTGTGTCAGTTCAACCTGTGGTAGTTCCTAAACACATTCATTGATGGTGCACATTTGTACCAAATTACATCTAAATAAAACCATTATTTTTGGATGTTTTTTTAAGTAATGTTTCACATTTGATGTTTTATTTACCAGATTTTATGATCTGATAAGATTTTAAAGGTGATATTTGTTTCACTCCTAATATGTAAAGCTTTAGATAAAAAAAAGAACATATTAAAGCAAATGAACCAATGGTTTAAATAGTTTAAACTTACATTTCATATATAATCCTAACATTTGAAAGAAGGTTGTAAGAAGAAAAAAATTGTCACAACAAAGCAATACAGTATGAATTTATTCAAATGGCCTTTTGTATAAAGTACATGAGAAATCCTCCCTTTTTTCCAAGGTACCATAAAAAAAATCTGAAGGAGTTGCTAGCAAAATATACTTTGTTTCTTAAACCACCAGATAGCTTAGAATTAAACTCACAGAAAGCAAATGTTGGATGCGCATCTACAAATGATTAACTTTAGGAGTCAACCTCATTTAAGATGCCACAGCTGAGAAACTTTAGCAAACACAAAAACAACTAAAACTGCTAATTTTACAGATATTCGATTAGATTTGACGTGCTCATATTCATCGGATGTCTCCAACATGCACTCTGAGTGCTACGCATTGCATGGCAACTTTGGTTTAACTTACAGTCAAACCTGTCAGCAAAATATCTCACGAACCACTGGACATATAAAAAAACCTGAAAGTTTGATGTGGTCGGAGCTTTTTTGTTTTTCGTATTAACTTTGTATTAAAGCAGGAGTTAGGAAGAGGAAAAGAGAGGAAAACCTCAACAGGAGCGGCGTTGTTTAAAACAATTGTCAGAGGTCATTTTATAAAATTTTGCGTAAACCTATTTGGACATCCAAGAGAGCTATTTGAATGCAAAATGCCACACGCCACTCCCAGCTTGCATGCAACGATATCAAACTTTCCCACACCCGTAAGAAGGAATCAAAATCCACGAGGACGAAAGCGGAGACAGTGAATTTGTGCTGCGTGTTCTCAGTGTCTGATGTGTGGTTTTGCAAAGCTGTGCAGTGGACCTACTTGGACCTGCTGGCCACAGCTGCTTCCCAGGCTCCTGCAGCCTCAACATCTTTATTACTTCTGCTCCACACAGGATGTTTCTCTGACAGTGACTGCGCACCACACACACAAAGCAGAGAGTATATCAGGTGTCCAACATCAAACCCTCATCCTCAGAGCCACATGAGAATATCTGCAAGTCATTAGTGGCTCTGCAGGCCAGCCCTGAACAGTTTTATCATGTCACTCTGAGGCCTGCTATTCCAAATCTGTTTGCACAAGAGTCATGCAACATTTGCCTAAATCTTTTTATGGGGTGTAAAATATTATCACTTTTAAGCTCTTAACTTTAACACAAAAAACAATGTTAATATTGCATCACATACAGACAAAATAGCACTCGACTATAAACAAGTGGAAGAAGTCTGAAATCACAAGTAAAGCAGTTATGCATACTAGATTAAATGTTAAAACGATTGTCTTCACACAAACTAAATACGCAGCTCGATGAGGAGTGAATGTCACTTTAATAACTTCTCAAGTCAGACCTTTAGGGATCTGTGTCTGCCTTATCATTGCAAAGTGAGTGAGATCCTTAAGAGTTTCCTTAAAGTGACTGCAAACCACTTTTAGCTATTTCTGCTCCTGAACAGGTTTTTGTTGTCCAAGAGCTTTCAAGCACACCGAGCCTCGTCCAAACCTTTCACCTCAGCGACCAAACCTCAGTGTGATAGTGTGGCACTTCATTACACAAATTTAACAACTGCGCTAACCACTGCAGCACCCAAAAGGCCTTTTATTTGACAACAGCGGTGTGTCCCTGCTGAGGCAGGTACCATGGTGGGAAAGGGGAAAAGGGCAAAAGAGGAAGAACAAGGAAAATGAATTGAAAAGAAGACAATAGTAAAGGATCAGGTGAGGAGGTGGAGCTGCTGGAATTGAAACCCAGTAAACTGGCTCATACCAGAGGTGAAGTTAGAAAACCTGAACACAACATTGTTGATTTGGCCTTTTTGTTACAGCTTTAAATATTTCACAGGCTACACAGCATGACTGCAGCTCAACAGTGCCCCCCAATGCCAAAACAAACACTTGAATTAACGCGTATAAAATTGCATTAAATTTCTATGCAGCATTAAGACTGAATTCAACGTTTACTAAGCTCCTCTAGATATTAAAAATAAATAAATTCAAAGGATCCAACCCTGCATCATAAGTAAATCTTGACTCCAAAATACCCATTTAGATAAAGCTGTAAAAAAAATAAAAACATACTCGCATTTAAAGCAAGTAAACACTGACCTGGCTAAAAGTTTCATTCATTCATTAAAAGCACTATATGTTTTTTTGTTTGAACTTACAAAACAAAACAAAAACAAACGCAGTTAAAAACCCTCTGTCATACTTATAACTTATAAAATACTTAAGTCTCACTAATTCAACAAAAACAATAAACTATAGTAAAGACACAAAAGATATTTAAAAATGCAATACTAAATGTTTCCTCCTGCAGGTGCTAATGTATCAAAAGAAGAACTTTGAATAAACCCGAAGTGCCTGAAAGTTCAACAAATTGTGCTCACCTTGCTCTTCGTCATTAGCATGTGCAATAAATGAATTATTCTTCAGCAAACACAGTGTCTCGATCTGCATGGCACGTTTTGGTACAAGTTAATTGGCAATTTGGTCCTTCCAAAAGAAGTCACAAGAAGTGAACTGTGCTTTGTCACTATATAAAAGTGTGAGTTAATTACTTTGCTCAAAAGCAAAATTATTAATTTAAATATTAAAAACGTCATTAAACATGGTTTTCTGTAACAATTCTTTCAAATTTAACACAGTGCGGTCAACCTTTCTCTGATGGAAGTTGAATTGTGAGCGCAGTGAAGGCCTCAAAGGAAATGTTTGTTCAGACTTTTAAAGGAAGTAGTAAATTTAGGCACTTTGACTTCCTAGCTTTAATTCCGGTTGGAAATCTGTTAAGTCAAGCCTCTGACACGGCGCTCTTCACTGGGCTGAAGCTGCGAACGGGACTTCCTTCTGTAGAGCCATACGTCCGTGATTGTTGAGGTTCTGTTGAGGTACCGGCAGGAGATTTGGTATCAAGCACTCTTGGAAGGTAAACCTGTGAAGGAAAGAAATATATAAATATTACGTGCATCAGGCTCCTTTACATGTTCCTCAAACACATGGAAAGTTTAAAATTTGTCCTTTAAGTATATTTTTATCCACTTCAGTGTTTCCCCATGGTCACGTGCTTTGGGAGGGCGCCAGTCTAAAATCTCCGCTCTCCGTCTGGAAGTAGCGGAGCTGTTTGCCGAGGGGTGGGGTTGGGGATTTAGTGGGCAGGGTGCTCAGTTCTGTTGACAGGGCGGGGCGCCCTCCTTGGACAATGGTAGGGGAAACATTGCTCTTACATAAACTTAGCACAAAAACTGTGGAACTTTGTGTTTGGTCAATTATTTCTTCAATGTACCAAAGCTTCTTGGCAATAAATCTTATGCTGTTAGAAAGACTTTATTTCCCATTAAATGGTTCCACATTTGTTGGGAAAATGTAATTGTGGCTTGAGTAGCAGAGTTGAGTATGTGGGTTGTTCTTTTGAAAAACTTGCCAAATCTTCTCTGCCGAACAGCTTATTCCGTTAGTGATTCTAGTTTTTTGTTGTTTATTAGATTAGATCAGAGGTGGGAAACATTTTTTTCCAAAGGGCCATATAGAGAATTGGAAAATAAATGTTCTTTATGACAGATAATCTAGAAGACTTTTTCAGGCTTTGTCTTATTGTAGCATAGTTAGCATGCTATATAAAACTTGTCTTTTCAATATCCTTTAGGAATATAAGATATATTCTGTAAACCGGCTCTTGTGACAATATATTATACATGTGAGCTTAACATGTTATACATGTTAGTGGAAATATGCAAAACAAACGTATATATTTGTGTTTCTAAAGGCCCCCACATACTCGGGTGTGCTTCACTCCGCAGAGGTCTGCGCGTACCTGAGGTGGACTCAATGTGGACTCGAAGTGGACGTCCGCAAGCCATGTCCGCGCAAAGATCCATTTTTGCAACCGCGTACATGTAGTCGGTGTCACACAATAAACTGCTGGCGGTGGACTGTTTTGTACGTGACACCAATGTACAAAATTCCCCTTCTTCATCAGTGCTCTGGTTTAGTGGCCTTTTTTGTTGTTGTTTTTTTTTTTTCAAAGGGCAAGCAATCTCTTCCTCCTTGTCCATTGACACCATGACTGAAATTGTGAGAAATTAAGGAATTTGTCATAAGAGAATTAAAATCAGGCCCGGAGTGGGTTATCGCGAGGGTCTGGAGGTTTCCCAGTGGGCCGGTCTGATGTGTGGGCTGCAGGGCCAGCGCTCCCCGTTTTTTTTATCTTTTTTAAAGAACTTTTTATTTACAACATATAAACACAGAACACTGCTGCAGCTGCTCCTGGGCTGCCAGCTGCCTCTACTCAGGGCCGTCGGTAGCTCTAGTTTATTTATTTATTTTTCAATCTGTCAATCAATCCAGTAGGCATGTCAGCAAATGACCAATCAGCAACCTCAATTTCACCCAAAGGTAAACGCCCCTTGCCTGGAGAGCTGGACTGCAGCCCATCAGGGTGTACGCTCGAGTATGACGTCTCAACCGTCTACGGACGGTGCGGCGGAGTCCGCATGGCTCACGGAGTATACACAGTACGCCCAGGTATGTGGGATCCTTAAGTCTTTAACGTTCCGTCTAGTTCTGGAAACACAATGACTTAAAAAATGTTTTTTTTAAAGTTTTGTGTAAGATGCTTAATTTAAATTTACTCAAGTCTCTTTGATAAATTGCTTTTTTTTTGTTTTTTTAACTAAGAACATTGGGGGCCTGGGGGAGATTGTCCAAGAGCCATTTTTGGCCCTCGGGCCTTAAGTTGCCCACGTCTGGATTAGATGATGAAGGTCTTAAGAAACAAGACAAACTGACAGTTTAATTACTTAAACAGTGACGTTATAATTATGTGGAAGAACCATACACAGCCAGTTATTGGAATAGATATCTACATACAATGATGACAACAGTACTTACTTACTACAACCAAATATAGTGGCAGCAGCATCTAGCTATAGCACTTCTAGAAAAATTATACAATTTCTGCCAGATGAACTGCATAACGCAAACTGATGATAATGTAAAGATTTATAAAAAAGCTTGAACTGCTACGAGAAGATTCTTCGTTTCAAGATGGCAGCAACCTCCTTTGGTCTTGGCCCTGATCAGACCCATCAAAAGCTTATCAATCCTGCCAGAAATAAAAGTTATTTCTACAAACGGACCTTCTAACCTTTCTGGGTTATATACAATTACGATATTGATTTTTCATAACCTTTCCCACAAACCCCATTTTAAAAGACCCGAACTATCACTTTATACTTGATCTATAAAATGTTAGTAAACTATTTTTTCTATTTTATTGCCCTAATGTGTTATTTTAAAACAGCTGTCTTTTAATGGCAGTGAAAGCAGAAATAATCCAAGATGGACAGACATTTTATTAATAAATACCATCAAAAACGTGACCCACGAGGCAAACTGAGGAGTTAACTCCAGGTCAACGTGAAGCGTGTTTGATCTTTATGGAAATGTTATGGAATTCGTTGAAGAACAGGCCTGAGTACTTTACCTTAATGTTTTCTTCCACTCCCTCTATTGTATTGTTGTCCTCTTCTTTGACCTAATAAACGAAACGAAGACAGTGTGAAGGGCGACAGCAGCAACAGTGCAGTGACACATTCAACACTCACCTCATAGTTATGTGGACTGAGGTACTTTAAACAGCCAAAGCAGGTGAAGCAGAGACAAATGAAGACTGTAAAACACAGGACGACTAAGGTGAACAGAGAGGTGGCAGTCTTGAAACCTGGAAACAAAGAACACAGATTTAAGAAAGTGACGCTAACTCACAACTTGTTCAGCAAAAACATCACAAATGTTCGTCTAATTTTGTCATTTGAAAACTGCTCTTAAATGTTCAACTTTTATTTAGCATACATAGCTTTTCTTAAGATAGGAACACTAACAAAAGATTTAACATTTAAAGCTTCCTATATCTTTCTAACCTGCTCGGAGGACAGAGAAGAAGTAAAGCCAGATCAGACAGATGATTGGTGCAGCCAGAGCTTGATCAACAGCTCCCAGGTGGACCTGGCGGTCAAGGCGAGTGGGCAGGTAGGTAAAGTACAAGTTGTGTCTGTCCACCAGATGCTTGAGGAGCATGTACAGGAAACCTGATTGAGTCAAACACAAACGGTTACATGACACATGTTATAGATTACTGAATGTTGACTGTAACTAACTACTTACCAAAAGGCACAATGATAGGACAGATGATACTGTAGGCCATAATGACAGTAAACACACACAGAGTCCAACCATACATGGCTCCATATTCAAACTCGTAGGCTTGGTGCTATGAACAGAGCAAACATGTTTTGTTACAAACATTTCAGGTTTGTATAATACATAACGAATACTATTGTGCGTTAATGTTTCTGACTTGTGGAGACTTTCTGTGTTTTTTCATAAAAACTGTAATATAAAAATGTTTGATCGCTTCAGTTTTATTCTAAACGATGAAGAAAATATTTGTGACCAATCAGGAATAACTAAAATAAATTCAATACAAACCTGTCGGACATATTTTCTTTCAGCAGCAGAACGGGCCAGCATCAAACGTATGGTGTAAAGCAGTAACCCTGGCAACCGCAACAACTCCATCCCCGAGCCCACTAGACCGGCCGCAATCACGTAGTTGACAAAAAATGCTCCTTGATCAGGTAAAAACACACACCTGGCACGTTGGAACAAAACGAAGAGCCAAAAGTAAAGAGGACGAAAGTTGAATAAATGAATATTAAATTAAAAATATTCATATGTTAATATAACACTTAATAACAAGCCTAAAGATATAAACTCAACATGGCAACTGTGAGTTAAACCAAATAAATAAAAAAACCTGCAAGACAAGATGCCAGTCGAATAAAATAGCTTACAAATGTCATTGTAATGTACATAAACATACTAAAAAATATTATTTTAATAAACTTGTACATGTTTCCTACAAGGTAAGAAGGCAGAAAATAGTAATTAAAAAAACAAACACACCAAAAAAAACAAAAAACCCAAGATTACTTACTCAAACCTTGTTTTTCCATCACTGATAAATTGCTTATCAAACAGCCAGCGGAAAAACCACGCAAGACTGAAGAAGAAAAACAAACAACAATGTTTTAAAATGTTTCCTGAAATGAGCAACACTTTTTTTTTTTATTTTTTATATTTTTACATTTATAGAGTTATGTTAAAACGATAGATACTCTGTTGGATTGAAAGACTTGCATAAAGATTTCAGTTTGAGACACAAGTTTCTGTCCAGTATTCGAGTGTCCATCCTTAAATATTTTTCACAGCCGTGAGAAAAATCACACCAGCTCTCAGTCCTGTGGAGTGGAAGTCTCAGCAGCTTCACTCGAAGGTTAAGATGTGCAACGCTCAAAGGAATTACTAAAAAACTAAAAGCTACACTGCAGATTTTACAGGCCTCAGTTAGCAGGGTAAATCTTTACGTTTAAGTTTTTTGTTTTCTTTCAGTCGCTCCCTTCTTCAGGGGGACCCAAGGCTGAGGGCCTTGGTCATGGGTGCGGGGTGGGTTCAACTTTTTCACCCACATTTTGATGTTACGGTCAGCAGAGGGATTTGAACCGGCAACTTTCTGTACACGGTTTCACTTCTCTTACCTCTGAATTACCACTCCCCTCCCGCTTATGACAGTAAAATTACACAAAAACTAAACAGTTTGTCTTTTTAAGAAGGGTTGTCAGCAGAAAGTCTCTTTTCTCTAAAAATAGAAGATGGTACAATGGTTTTGTTTGCAAGGTTGCACCTGAATAAAACGAAAAAGAAAAAAAAGTTTGGAACAATAAATTTTGGACAGACGAGCTCAAAATTAAAGTGTTTGTCATAACGCACAACACTATATCCAGGAAAACCCAAACGCAGCATCTCACAGTAAACAACATGTAGGTGGTGATTTAGGCTAACGTCAAATATTAGGCCTCGACTCTTCAGCAGCTGAAGCGTGTTACAAAACCTGGTTTACCGGATTTTGCAACAACAAAGTGACTCCAAACACAACATGAAGTCCCCAACAAAACAGCAGAAATATGACGCTGTTGCACCGGCTCAAGTCCTGACCTTGGGCCATTTGACTAAATGATTTCACCAACAAGTTTTAATGTAGTTTGAAGTCTAGCTACAATCCATCTAAGCTATTGTTTTATCAGATTACCTGGTGAGGCCGAGTGAGGGAAGAATCAAAACCATGAAGAGCAGGAAGAAGTACAATTTGCGCATCATGCTCAGCTGCTCACTGGACCTGAGAAACATGTACAGTTAAGTAAAAAGAATGTGTTTTGGCAATACAAACTGTTCAGTGCACACTGTGCGTGTGTGATACCTGCTCCAGTGTGCTTCTCCTAGTGTAGAGTAGTACACTATTGTAGGCAGTAATGCAGAGAAGGACCACAACAGAAGAGTTGGGAAGAACTGACTAATCAGAGGGCTCTAAAAATTAAAAGAATAAATAAAGCACCACGACGATTTTAAAGCTCTCCATCCGTGTTCAGTATAGTATATTCCTGAATGTTTCAGACTCACATTAAGATAGTAGATAGGCTTAGTCACATTGAACCTGTCCATGGTGTTAATGATGATGGTGGGAGTTGTCAGGAAAGTGAGGACGATGAAAAGTAAGATGTTTATTCCCATGTAACGGAGGATCCAACACAAACCACGCACTGAAAGGTTCTCCCTGTTAGGTATATGAAAAAAAGAAGAAACAAAAGAAAGAGGTAATGACAAAAATAAACAAATGAAAGAACTAGCATTCCTTGAAGGAGTATCATATCATCATTGTATATCACCCACTTCTTTCAGGCCAGAGTTTAAAGCTAAAATCACCTTCCGCTGAAAAATGACAGGCGTGAACATAACACGATGCACGACGTCTTGTAAGACCTCACAAGATCCTGCATGATCCGTTAGAGAATCAGAGTACAGTATGTGTTGTTCATGACTGTCCATTATTACCACAGCAAATGGACCAAAACTGTCCAAAAAGAAACCACTTGTAAACGTCAACCTTATGATCACTTTCTAAAAGTTTATTTAAAATTTCTTGAATGGTTTAGGGGATTTTGTGGTTGCTAAGGTGTCTGCTGTGGTGACTGCGTTCATTTGAGCAGAGACCAAAAAATGTGATTGCAGATGCTGCAGTGCTAACATTTTTACATTCTCAAAGTTTCATTAAAACATGTTCAGTGATTCATGAGGTATTTTGCTAACAGTACAAACCCATAAACAGGCATGCCTATGTTTTGGCATTTATTTGAAGTAAAGTTCAAAATCATTAAACAATTTCACAATAAAGTACTGATACATGCATGTTCCTGTTTGCAGAGATTTTTTGGTAACAAGGTTGAAATCAATATATATATATTTTTTAATTGAATAAAACCATATTTTATGCAAGATTTATCCAGAACAAAAACTATCATGGATCAAACTGTTGTAGCAGTGTTCAATAAAGCTCAGCTTTCTCTTTATTTCACAATTTCTTTATACTTCTCCTTTTACTGTTGACTCTTCCTTTTCAAGGCTCGCCACAGCGAGTGCTCCTCCTCCTTATGATTTCACTAAAAAACAAGCTCATACGATTCTACTAAAGAGCAGTTAGTTAGAATACTGAACAAATGTCCATCCCTCTTATCCTTAGCATTGCTAATGACAAAGAGAGCACACTCGCTTTACGAAGGGTTGCTGTTTGTGAACTTACCAATACACACTTTTGTGATGTGGAGCGTAGCTGACTCTCCACTTGTTCACTTTTAAAGTTTGGCTTTTGGATGAAGGCTGTGGTTCCCTCGCACAGCAGCACTTCGATCCTGCACACTTAATCGCATTGAAGTCTTTCAGAATGCTGCAGTCAGTAAACAGCAGCTGTTAGTGACAGATAATAACTCGTTCTAGAAAATATAAGAGCTCCTCTCAATAAAAAAAAAAAAAACGTCCTGTGAAACCAATAACTTTGATGTTTACACGGACTGATAAGAACAGAGCATGATTACGGTAACTGCTATTTCGGTTCTAGTGAAAATTAACCAAGATTGTAAACAATAATTACTAAGAACTAGAAAGTTCCTGGAGAACTTTGACTGGGACTGCCTATTTATAATTAAACTATTATTAATAATAAATATTGATATTAATGATTATTAATATTAATAACAATACTGATGATTAATATTAATAATTATTTATATAGTTAATTTTTTAATTAGTAAAATATTAATAATTAATAATCAATATTAATAATATTCACACCAATAATTAGTATTGATTTTAAATATTACTTATTAATATTAATAATTATTGATATTAAAACAGATAATTATTAACATTTACAATTAATATGTATTATTAATATTACTAATTATTAATAATAATAGGTGATAATAGGTAATAATAGGGACCTTCCATGCGTTGCATAATGCACTGCCTTCCATGCATGTTGAACCAAAATGGCTCCATACGTTACTCAGTTTCTGTGAAGAGTTATCTCCTATTCATTTCCTATGGTAAATTTGGCATCTTTGTTAACAAAATATGTTGCCGTGGTAACTGCAAATGCCAATAAAAGTAATTGCACACTTCCCGGAGCCGGGCCGGTTGTTTTGATGTAACTTTTGTGGGGGGTCCACGTTGTGGTTCGGGCCGCATTAAAGTTGAAAAAGATACGTTTTTCAGGTGTAGAATAATAAGAGGGCAGTCACCAACTAGTTCCTGGAGTTGATGAAATATTGCGTCTTTGTTCGCAAATTACGTGGCCATGGTAACTCGAAATGCCAATAAAAGTAATAGCACACATCACGGGGCCGAGCCAGTCGTTTTGATATAACTTTTGTGGGAATAGACGCTGTGGTTTGGGCCACATTAACAGAGATAGAAATGTAGACACTCTTTCGAGGTGTAGAATAATAGGTGCCTGCCCCAATAATTACTAGAGCAATGGATTTTTCTTATAATTGTGGTTAAAATTTCCATGAATTAGAATGCCTGAACTGCAACAAAAAAAAAAAAACCACTATGTGAAATTGATACTCACTACTTGGCCTTAGCTTCGGTCTGTAAGGTGACAAAAGCAATCCCCAGTGGGTGATCTGGCACTTTTTCTGCCTCCTGTCTCATTTCCTCCAGCAGCTCTTTTTCTTTATCACTGTAATATTCTATGGCATCAACCTGAGAGAAACCAACAACAACAAAAATTACAATAAAACCACCTGATGTGATTACATGTTCCCTGCACTGCCTCTGACAGAATGTTTTCATTATAGAATACATGTGTGTTGTTACTGTTTTAACCTGTAAAAGACAAGATAAAAACTGTCAGAACATTTGGTGCATTTCACCTTTTCGCAGCAACAGAAGTGGCCACATAAACGAGGGCTGATCAGCTCACGTAGCCCTGTCTTATAGAGGACGCGCTCATAGTATCGCAGGTTTTTTCCAGCTCGGATCCTAAGTTGGAAAGAAAAAAAACAATATGTAAAACTATGAATTTAAACAAAGTCACTTACTTGGATAAAGCAGGGTTTAGATGGGACAGAGGCTTTCAAGCACAGCTTAAAATATGCACATTAACTTTTGTTTAAGGCCTAAAAGCAAAGAAAGACAATTTTTGTGGCTGTTTCCAAACGTAACACTGAAAATTGATCACTTTCTTCTTATTGTGTGTCTAAACATTTTTAGGGCTCACAGGGAGAGATGTGGGATTTGAGCTGCATAAAAAAAAATACAGTAGTCTCCCGCTATGTTGCGTGTTTTTTTACGCAGCCTCGCTCTATCGCGGTTTTTCAAAGTAAGATTGGACATGACACACAATTGGCTGATTGATGGATGAGCCGCATGATCGGCATGGATTTTTATTTAAAATAAACCTGTGTGCAGCTAACAGCTGTGGGATAACTTTCTCCTGCAGCTGATCAGATGATCAGCTGATGCCCGTGCAGAGAGAAGAAGTGGGCGTGGCCGAGAGTGCAGCCGGAGGCAGAGAGCTGAAATCATGACATTCTGTGCGTATGGGGAGTGGTGGCGCAGAGGTTAGAGATGATATGCCTGTGATTGGAAAGTCGCAGGCTCAACTCCTGGTACCGTCACTCCCAAACTGCTCCCAAGCAGATCCCTCCTGAAAAGGAATTCTCATGACTCAATGAGACTACCTGTATAAATAAAGG